TCTATCGACTTAATCTGCATTGAGTAAATAACAGAATTAAATAAGTCAAATACGAGAATGGATTTTCCAATACATATATTTTGTACAACTGTTGATCGGAACAGATAATCAGACGGACGTAGCGAAGAAGAGAGAGGGCGAAATGACGCGTAGTGGATTGCCTTGATCTTGTTTTAAGTCATAAGCTTTATAAGCAAAGATGGATAGTGGTATAGTGGGGCACTTTATTTTGTTGTCATTTCGATTAGATGATGTTGTCAATGGACTCTCCACTTTATTGATCTGAGTTCTGACTCTAATTTGATTGTTTGAATGATTGTTATTGAAATCTATATATAAATCGCATATACTTGTATATAATCATCGACTTAAATTCCGTTAGTCGATAACGGAATTAATAAGTCGACTAACAAGAATGGACTTTTGAATACATGAATTTTGTATATGAAGCGAATAGAATAAAGAGAAGCGAAAAGATGCACAGTGCAGATGGCCGGTAAGCCAACTCTATTTAGTCAAGCGTTAATCAACATTTATAGTCACGAAAAAATAAGTTACAGACATGTGATGAATAGGATAAGAAATGTACATACACATATGCGCTCATATAAAACCAGTCAAAATTAACAAGCGGATAATTGACGAGGTCTAAATGTGACTCAAGTAGAATCAATAGATTGGGCTGTCCGAAAGCTAGAATAAGGTATATGGGCTTAACATGATAATCAACACTCTGGGACTCGAACCTAGTACTGTTTGTTTCAAACGCTATCGCGTTATCCACTTAGCTATTAAGTTCTGATAGCCACTTGCATGTGCAATGGGGTGAAATTTAATTTCACTTGGTATTGAACATCAACTTTGAGATGCAGGTACACCCAGCTGACGAGTCCCAAAAAGGACGAAACGCATATCTCGGATTGCACTGCTAAAAACAAAACAAGTTTTAGACATTTTGAGCTATCATGTTTAAATAACATATTTTCCGTTTTAGTAGTTTAGTAGGAAATAGTTTGTACACTTTGAAAGTAATCTATTTCAAAATGGATTGACATTAACTGTAGAGAAATGAAGACCATTAATTAAGCAAAGATGGATAGTGGCTACCAGTGGAATCCAGGATGCGTATCTCGTCCTATTTGGGACTTGTCATCTGGATGTACCTGCATCGCAGAGTTGATGTTTACATTTGGACTCGAACCTAGTACCGTTCGCTCTAAGCGCCATCATTAATGCTTGAAAGTTACTTTTGAAAGTCAGGATTTCAAATTGTCGTTAGATTATATGTGTGAACTGTTGAGAAGTAGAAATTGAAACAATACAGCCGTCATTTTCTTCTAGATTCACATAAGTTATTGGATTGATCTAAAGTCAATAGAAAAATAAATATCAGTAGTATTTTGCGTTTCTGGATAAAAATATCAATCTTGTTATTATCAGTCTTAACCTTCAAGTTTATTGCTGATGTCCTTACTTCACATTGTACATAAAATGAATAAAACCATATAGTTGATTTCCCTAAATTTTGACCAATTAAGTAAAGTGAACAATATCAGAATAAGTAATAGAATTGTTACAACTTATGATTACGTGAAACAATTGTGAAAGCTTTGTCGGTTAATAGAATTGAGAGAATTTATGCTTTATCCCTAGATTACTGATAATCCCTAAGCATGCACATATGTAAAATGGCTTATCTTTGTTAATAATCAATCACCTTGATAACCGTTAGCATATAAATCCCCCAACGGTGTTTGAATTCAGAAGGCAACAAAAAGTGGAGACTATAGTTTATTAGCAGATAGAACAGATCATAAAGCTATAAGCACATCGAGCAAATTCGGAACAGTTGCTAATGTGTATGTGCTAGCAATTTAAAGGTGAATTTATAGTCAAATCGAATTAAGAAGCAGCTAGACAAGGCAAAAGCAATTAATAGGATTCGAGGTATATATATGAGGGACACTTAGCAACAACCAACTGTGGGAAAGAACAAACCAGATCCCAGTGGAGGAAGAAATTAGGAAGAAGCGCTGGAAGTGGGTAGGACACACATTGAGGAAAGCACTCACATGGAATCCTCAAGGCCAAAGGAGAAGAGGAAGACCAAAGAACACATTACGCCGAGAAATATAGACAGACATGAGAAAAATGAACAAGAATTGGATGGAATTGGAAAAGAAGGCTCAGGACAGAGTGGGTTGTAGAATGCTGGTCTGCGGCCTATGCTCCATTAGGAGTAACAGGCGTAAGTATATAAGTAATATATATATGAGAAAGAGAATGATTCATCGAGCAATATTATGCGATTAACATTTAAGCTAGAGAGAGGGGGGTATGTGCATAAGCAAAGAAATAGATTGATACTAGCCGAATAACATTGTCTGTCAAATAAGTTAATAAGAGGGCTTGAGAAAAAAAGTACGAGTGTTACTGTAACTATTCCTATCCAATTTCATTCCATTTAAATCATGTGATTAATTAATTCCAACATCAAATAATTGAAGAAAACCAGTAGCAAAATCCTACTTGACCCAAGTTAGTTAAAAATCATCATTAAATCTTATCTTCATTAAATCATTGATATTTCTTCTTTAATTTAAAACCCTTTTCATTTGATTTCATTACAACATTACCACTGTTCTATTAGGGATAAGATTAACGAATAACGGAATAGTGTTGTCCTAATAAATGTGATTATGTTAATCTTGTTAGACTTTTTTCATTTTGAAATTGATGTTTTAATGTCACTACTAGTTATCAGTTGGTTTAATCATCAGCTATCCATCCATTCAGTGATTGTATTTAGTTGTTACTTCATATTGTTGTACTGTTCTTTACTAATAGAAGCGCTGGAAGTGGATAGGACACACATTGAGGAAAGCATCCAACTGCGTCACAAGGCAAGCACTCACATGAAATCTTCAAGGCCAAAGGAAAAGAGGAAGACCAAAGAACACATTACGCCGGGATATGGAGATAGACATGAGAAGAATGAACAGCAATTGGATAAAGCTAGAAAAGAAAGCCCAGAACGGAGTGGGTTGTAGAATGCTGGTCGTTGGTCTATGCTCCATTGGGAGTAACAGGTTTTAGTAAGTAAGTACGCTCTTCACTAATCCTATTTCTAATATACACACTTTCACTAATAAATTATTAAATATGTAAATCAATCTCTCGGTTTACATTGTGTATAACACATTAATAATGTCAATTATATTATCGAAATATATCATTAGAATAAATAAATATAATATATTTGTAGATATCTCCAGTGAGTAGAACAATTAGAATTTTCTGATGTTTCGCGATTGAATGCAAGTCCCTTCTTCAAAGTAAATAAATAACCAAATGAAAATTAATTCAAGTTTAAATAGTACAAATGAATAATTCAAAACTATTATGTAAGATTCATGAAAAAACAGATCTGGTTCAGCATTTACTCATTATGTAATCAATCGGTGATCTTAAAACAATGAATATATAATCTAGATTCTTCTTCAGAGTGTTGCGAGATACTGAATCGAGGCGTGGAACTTTCGGCGGGGAACTCCTAGCTGTGTGGTGTAGTATGCGGTATTTGAAGGCCAGGAACCCACTATTTTCACAAATCATAAACTTCCAGACAAGTACTCCCCTCAAGAATCTCACAAACTATTATAAATACATCGTAAATGAGACATTCTTAGTGTCAGTCTGTCGACTACAACGCACGACCAGACACATATATACATCGGTCCAAGTTCCCACAAAGAGTGTATACACCTACGCCAGTGTGATCAATTCTGAGCCATGTCATCACGAGTCTCCAACCATTGGTTACGATAGTCACGTGGACTCCAACCAAGTAGTCTGAATCTACCTACATGGCTCAGACCAGAAGTTAGTGACTCCAAGGGTCGATGCCACGTTTTGGTTTCGCCGCCCCTAACTTTCTTCTAACCGTCTCGAACACTAGTTAGCATTGCGCGCCGTGGTAGTCGGTGTTCATGTGTACATAACACGATGAAGATTCACAACTTCATCAACTGACTTACCATCATTACCTAACACCCTGCGTCTAACCTCACTATTTCTTACCCAATGATACCAGCAGATACCAGAAATATTGCTAAGGCATCTGTGGTCAAATACTAGTAGCTTCCGAATATCTTCAACGCTCGAAGGGCACGCTCTGCAGCCGTAAAGTTAAACAGAAAAAACTGCTGCACAGTATACTTGTCCTTTAATTAATAGATGGATATATTACCCTCGCCATAGGTGATGTAAGTTGGCAAAAGCCAAACGAGCTTTCTAAATCCGTGCTGGGATTTCTTCAGACACCAACACATTAAAGCTGATTGTACTTTCAAGATTAGTGAAGTTGTTGACGCTTTCAACTACTTCACTCCCTATCCTTAGTTCAGGTGTTGACGTAGACCAGTCCTGAAGTAACAACTTGCATTTAGAGTGGGAGAAACACGTCTCATACATTCCGGAATTGTTGCTCAGTGCTACTAAAAGACTCTGCAATTTATCAGCGTGTTCACCAAACAGGACTATATCATCTGCGTATTCTAAGTCGATAAGTGAACTTCCTGGTAGGAGATCAATGCCCGAAAATTCAGTCGATGAGAGCGTTGTTTTCATCAGTAAGTTCGATAGGTTAGGCTAGGCAGGGAGAAGGATCGATAAGTACACTAGAATTCTCGTTCAAGTTTTATACGTCATTGATCCTGTCGAGAAAACTACCACTCTCTTATTGGTGATATCACTAGGTTATTACATTAATAGAGGCATAAAATCCACAAGTTATAACAGGTTATTTAGTTAATCTGAAGAAGTAGCTTACACTAAGTCACGAAACATCAGAAATATCTAATTGTTTTACTTGTTAAGGATATCTTTTGTTCATAACAATCTATCCAATGTTCAATGTAGTTGAAGTTCTCATATCAACTATACTACTGTGATATCTATTATATTAGAATGTAAAAATCTTTATAATTAAATAAACTTAGATACTAAAAACTGAAGAAAAAACAACAAAATTACTGAATTGTATAAAAGAAAATGAATTAGATCAAGTGATTGAACAACATTAAATTGATGAAATATATTTCAGTTACCATTATTAGACAAAACAATATTAACAAAGATAGTGTAATGAAATCATATTGGTTATTTAATGACCTTCATATTCAATTAAGTTAGAATATATTTTGATTTCATTCATCAACTAGTAGAAGAAAGAAAGACAACGAAGAAGAGAAGAAGAAGATTGGGGGAAGGAAAGAGAAAAAGAACAACAACAACAACAAGGATAAAAAGACGAAGAAGAACACGAGGAGGAAGGAGAAGCAGATGAACAACATCAACAACAGGAACATGAAGACGAAGAAGAAGAAAAAGAAAAAGAAGGAAAACAGGAGGAGGAAGGAGAAGAAGAAGAAGAAAATGAAGATGAAGAAGAAGAAGAGGAGGAAGGAAGAGGAGGAGGAGAAAAAGAAGAAAAGCGGGAGGAAGAAGGAGAAGGAGAAGAAGAGAACGAAGAAGAAAAAGAAAATCAAGAAGAAGAACAGGAGGAAGGAGAAGAGGAAGAGGAGGAGGAGGAGGAAGGAGAAAGGGAAAAAGAAAGAATTTAATTGATTATTTTGTTCCTATGATACAGTTTTAATTATTTGATCAGTTGTTGAGAGAATTATAAGAATAGAAAAACAAATTTACAGAGACTATACAGATGACGTATAATTCTTCGTATTAATACGATTAAAATGATTTTGAGAGTATCATTGACAAAACCGGAGCCGTTACTATCAGGCGTCAAAAACTTGATTAATGTGTTCCAAAAGAGATTGTTATTAATTTTACTTTGCTTTAGTGATGGGTATTCCTTGTGTTATATTTTAAAACTTCTTTTTGTTAGTTCATTTTTTGAACTCTTTCTTGTATTTATTACGTCATTATGCCATTGATTTTTCTCTTTCGTCTGTCTTCCAAATTACTTCGGTGAGACTATAATTTATAGACGACATTTGAGTGACGCCAAATTGACGTTGAGAGAATTCACCTGATTACTAAGACCAAATGAGGGTTATAAATTAGTGTGGGGAATTAGAATTATGATTTACAGTTGATAGTTAAGGTTAATAATTAGATTTATGGTTTTCATCACGAATTGACATTAGCTATAATGCCAAAACTCTATTCAACCAAATGGTTAAGTGAATTCTGCGCAAAAATCCGAGACCTATTATATTATACCTGATTGATTCGTTCATAAATTATAGTCTCGCCAAAATTTCTTTACATAAGCTATATATATACGAATTTCAGTCTATTAAATTTTATCAGAAGGGATTTTGTGGAGATTTTAGGAATTTCACTGGTTGAAATCATGAGTCAATTGAAGCTAGACCACCATCTCCACAAAAAACCCCATTTGATACTAATCAACATATGCTCACTAGTGACTGACTTCAAGAGATACTCCTGAAGTTTTAGTGAGAATCCGTTACCAGTGGAGTTCAACCTGGTCTGTTGTGAGATAGGAACTCACTGAAGACAATGGTGTTCGGTGGCGCAACTTCGTGGATTTGTTGAAGATAGACATTGACACCGTTGGGTGCCCGCTCAGTGGTCTAGTTGGTTAAGTGCCTGGCACGAGACTGATCGGTCCTGAGTTCGAATCTCGCCAGGGGCGGGAGCGTGGATGCGCACTGTTGGGGAGTCCCGTGGTAGGACGAAACAGCCGTCCAGTGCTTCGAGGTTTCCCATGGTGATCCAGCTTCAATTGACTCACGATCTCAATCAGTGACATTTTATTAAATTTATTTACAATCTTGCCTACATTGTACTGAAATATCTTCAAAGTAACATCCAACTAAACCTCTCATGTAAGTAATTTAAACTCATTACGTAATTATGGTTTTTTAAATATCACAGGTTTTAAGCAGCTGACATGAATCAAACAAAATAAAATGAATTCATACTATTCTACTAGAATCTTTGTTCTTACCCTCTTCAAAATGATAAAAGGGAACTGTTTGTGTGGGAAAGTGAAGCAATTAGCGTATAGGTTTTAATAGTTCGATCTCATTAGACAGTAAAACTGGTAAACCTATTAAGTCATTTTAGAAATTATAAATAACACAGTCATATATATACATGGATATTATGGTAATTTCAATAGTTAATTGAAGCTAGACTACCATAGAAAACCTGGAAGCACTGGACGGCTGTTTCGTCCTACCACGGGACTCCTCAGAAGTGCGCGCCCACGATCCCGCCTCGTGAAATTCGAATCCCAGGACCTATCAGTCTCGCGTGCGAGCGCTTAACCTTTAGACCACTGAGCCGTCCAGTGCTTTCAGGTTTTCCATGGTGATCTAGCTTCAAATGACTCACGATCCTAACTATTGAAGTTGTATATTCGTTGGTTAACACATAACTTATCATGTAGAGTAAATTATCAGTGAGATTGTGGTATGTGCCATTGATGTCGACAGATATAATTAGTATATACTATCAATCATAAAGGAAATATCTGGCGGCAAAAGGTTTAGAAAATCAAAGAAAAGAGAACGAGAACAAAGAACGGTTGATGTGGAAACAAAAGAACAATGAAGTTTGAGCCGATTAACTGATATTTACAAAAGGAACAAACAAGTTTGAGACAAATGATTGAGATTTCTCAAGTGAAGTATTTACTTTAGGGTTCAGAGATTTCACTAAAATGTTCTGTAATTTTGTGTTCAGATACATTCGGTTGTCCTCCACTTTTGTTCTCGTTCACTACACGACTACCTAGATAATCCGACTGTTTTATCAATCATTTGTTATAGTTGACTTATTAGCTTATATGTTGCCAATAATTATCTCCTAATCTGATAAATTCCTTACTCATCTAATACTTACTTACATCTGTTACTTCTAATAGAGCATAGGCCACAGACCAGCATTCTCTAATCCACTCTGTCCCACTCTGCCTTCTTTTCTAGTTCCATCCAATTCTTAATCATCTTTCTCATGTCTATCCCTATTTTCCGGCGTAATGTGTTTTCTGGTCTTCCTCTTTTCCTTTGGCCTTGAGGATTCCATGTGAGAGTTTATCTTGTGACACAGTTTTGTGCTTTCCTCAATGTTTATCCTATCCACTCATTTAATAATATATGCTAATTTCACTGTTCGTTTAACTTCGAAATTTGGTTAATTTAATTTCTTTTACCCTTACAACATTCCACTTTGTGTCAACTAGTTATTATCAAATAATAATCTGTCTGTTTTAGCAATAGTCATTTTTAAATTACCTAATCTCATCAGTGATTATTAGTGTTTATCAGGACTCAGTAGCTGAATGGATAATGCGATAACGTTTCAAGCGAATAGTACTGGGTTCGAGTCTCATAGTGAACATCAACTCTGATATATAGATACATCCAGCTGACAAGTCCCAAATAGGACAAAACACACATCCTGGATTCTATTACTAGCTACTATCCATCTTTGTATATAATGCTTGTAAATTAAGGCTATATCGAGTGAATACGCACAGTATACAGATATGCATATAAGAGACTGATAATTTTTTTAATTGTGACAAAATTTTGTTGATCTTATCATTATAGTAAACTAACAACAGGTAGTAGTGATGATGATTAGTCAAAAAGATCAAATGCATAGGTTATTCGGTAAGTTCATTTTAAATTCTTCCAATCAATTTAGATACTGATCAAAATTTTGCGTTTATGGAGATTTACTGATTTTACTGATCAGATGATAACTCATCTTCTATTGGATTATTCAATGATCTAAAGAATTTTACTTCAGCTGTTGATATCTCAGTTTCTGTTGATATTTCCTTGTTTTACAGTGTTTACAGAGTTCCATCACTGTGATGATATGATCAATAGTCCGTTGCCCCAAATACCCTGGTATGGGTGAGAGTGGAGATAGTCAGCTCTCCCTCTTTAAATGCTCTCACATGGGTTAGCGTATACAACCATTGACAGGGAAGTCCTACTCACTTTCTTGTTGTTTACGAATTCGAGGGGACAAAAGGAGAATTTCCAGCGTTGTGCCTTGGTTGGCGGATATGCAGGATCCATCTAGGGGAGTTTGAAAACCCTGATTCCAAACTATGGGTGTACATGGGCTCCAGGATTCAGAGGGAACAAATGGTGTATGCGTCAATCATTGGTCACCGGCTACCATGGGACTGGATCTGCTTTGTGGGTCAGACCTTTATGTCGGAGGCTGCGGGTGTGGCTCCCTAAGAAAACCGCCTGAGTTGGTTCGGGCACCGTGACAGTATCACAGCCCACTCACAAATTAAGTGACTTGTGTGGCACATATGCATTCAGTGCTCCTCTGTACCAATGTTTATGTGTTTAAATAATAATTTAAAGTTATTTGTTGACTTTTATCACTCCGTACGAAGTTATTTAAATGTTAAACGTTCAATCTGGCTGCAAACTTTGTTCATGCCCATAGATAATCTATATCTACTTGTGTTATTAATTTTGAAGCCTAATAGAGTTCCAATGATGAAAGGTTACGAGTATTTTAGCTACCATATAAACAAACCTTTAAAATATATTTAATTTATTAGCATTTTATAAACGTTGATTTGACCTTTGCTCTATGGCATCTCACACAGTCATAAATAACTGATCGCTTATTATACCTTGCATTAGAAACTCAATCATATCAAATGAAATTCATTCCACGATACAAATAACAAACTTCGATAGAACAATGAGAAGACGGAGTTGATGGCTTCAAAATCAGTGTGTGTCAAATGATCCGATCAATGTAGGAGGTAGAAAACCCAGTTCATCGATAGCGAAACATATAATTGAGACGGGGCACAAAATTAACATTAATACAGCATTTAGAATGTTGTATAGACATTGTCAAGGTCGAATTCTTAAGTTTATTGAAGTCAGTTTATAATCAATTCAAAAAGAGCAATTATCAGGTTATTATTTAAATGTTACCATAATTTCTTCAACAATTTGGGAAACTCTCTCGATTTCCCAAATTGTATGAGCATCCCATGTACCTAAATAAATGGTTGCTCTGATTGTCAGAAGGTGCATCAGCC